ACGCTGTCTCTCCTCTCACTTAATTCCTCGTATTTCTCACGGACGCGTCCAATCAGTTAAAAATACGACAAGTTAGTGAATATTAAAGCACCGTACTCATCCAAGCCAACGACGCATCATCATGGGCCTTGATGAGTTATAGGCGAAGTACTTGGGTGTCGTACGTTCCCGATCAGGACGAACAGTTGTATTTATTACGGAGCGGCAGATTGCGAGAACGGATAAGATAGCGACGTGTTATTGGTATTGTAAAGATTTTATTTTGTGTGTGTTGGAGGTTAAGGCACGAAGGCCAGGTACACATACCGGGTAGGTTATCCCCAGAACAGGATCCGCTAATCGTTTTACAACCTGGTCGCCAATTACTACTTGGGTGCACAGGGGGGAAGAATGAAGGAAGGGTTGCCAGGGCTCGAACCCGAGTCGTTTATAATTGTTGTTGTGGAGGCAAGGAGTATATATAGTCCCTAGGGCTGGAACCGAAGATGACAGAAATACTTCATAATAGGCCTGCTGGTCCATAATAATAATTAGGCCTGGTCCATAATAGGCCTGCTTGCTCCAAGTAGGCCTGCTGGTCCATGGCAGGCCTAGTTCATGGTTGTTATAGTGTAGAGGGGATTAAGTATATATATTTTAAATATCTAGGTTTGAATTACAATAATTCGGCGTACATAGTTTGTATAAACAATAAAGCACATGAAACTGATGTTTCTTTGATCAAATATTGGGGTTGTGGAATGGGATCGAACTCGTGTCCCTTTAGTGAAACTCGTCTAATCTATATCTTTAAAATAAAATATCTGTCTTTCTCTATCTGTTTATCTCTCCAAGGCTGGAGGCCAGACGCTTCGGGCTAGCCTCAGCCAACCTTTCAAGATGATAAATGGATGGTATGGGACTGTCATAGGCCGAATGGTGTTGGACATAGTCCACCCCCTTCCCCCCCCCCCCTTTTTTTTTAAGGAGGATTTGCTCCAAGTTCAAAGCACAGCAACTTCTACAACGTCTGAAATTTGGGTTAAGTTTTCATAAAGTTTATTAACAGTTTTCAACTGTTCATTATTATGTACTTAAATGGCTTATTGAAAAAAAACATTGAACAAAGAAATCACATTATGAATTAAGGCTAAAATCAGTAGGAGCCGTGAGAAGGGTTCGAACCCATGCTTTGGAAACTCCCAAGCCAGCACCCCTATAGGATTCAGTTCAATCCCAGGATGCACTTGTTTTGACCATGTTGTGGTGTGTTATTAGTATTTTCAGTAGTATTATATATTTTTTTTAAACTAGAGTCGTATCCGGCTGTGCTCGGGTCGCGCTCTCCCTCCCCTCTCTTTCCTCTCCCTCTCTTCCCTCTTCCTCTCCCATCTCTTTCCCGTTTCCCTACTCTCTTCCCCTTTCCCCCTCTTATCCAAACTCTCCTCAATCTTTACTTCTCTTTCTTCTACTTTTACTCTCCTTCCATCATCTCCCCCTCTCCTCTTCCCAGCATCTCCCCTTTTTCCTCCTCTCACTCTCGTCCCCTCTCTACCCTCTATTCCAATCTTCTCCTCTAATCTCTCTGTTCTCCCATCCTCTCCATTTTTCGCGGAGAGGAAATGTGGAGAGGATGTAGAAATCTCTCTCGAACAGAGAGACAGAAACACAGACAGACAAACTGCATTTGTGACAAAAACACTTATTTAGAGCTTCTTGTGTATGTAAACTTAAAATGGCCTGACAGCTGAGTGGACAGCGCTTGGGATTCGTAGTCCTATGGTTTCGGGTTCGATCCCCCGGCGGAGGCGGAAACCAATGTGCAGAGTTTCCTTCACCCTGATGTACCTGTTCACTTAGCAGTACATAGGTACCTGGAAGTTAGACAGCGGCTACGAGCTGCTTCCTGGGGATATGTAACAAAAAGGAAGCTTGGTCGAGGACCGGGCCGCGAGGACGCTAAGCCCCGGAATCATCTCAAGATAACCTCAAGATGGTCAGGTTACGGAGCAGCAGCTCTAGCCAATCACATTCCTTGTCCAGAAATTCATGAAGACAAAGTGTGTATCTTTTTGTATGATTAGTAAATATTATATGTATACTGAACTGTAACATTGTGTAAGTTGTGTATATATTACGTCGTTTAGAGTGAAAGCACTAAAGTCTGCACCACCTGGCAGATAGTGAATGACATAACTGGGACATAGAAGATAAGGAAAAAATAAAAAGTTAAATAATTTAAATATCTACATCTTTCGTTCAGTTTCAAATGGGAGCAATTATTATGACATCTTCTGTATAACTTAATACTCCTTTAATATGAAAGACATCGAGTGTGTCACAGAGCGACGGAGTATTGACCCCTCAGGTACATTACTAATATGATGGATATATAGAGCTGGAACTCGCTCCAAAGACATAAAAAGGTTAAAACACACACACACACACACACACACACACACACACACATCTAAGGGGCCTCGTAGCCTGGTGGATAGCGCGCAGGACTCGTAATTCTGTGGCGCGGGTTCGATTCCCGCACGAGGCAGAAACAAATGGGCAAAGTTTCTTTCACCTTAAGTGCCCCTGTTACCTAGCAGTAAATAGGTACCTGGGAGTTAGTCAGCTGTCACGGGCTGCTTCCTGGGGTGTGTGTGTGTGTGTGTGTGTGGTGTGGGAAAAAAAAAAAAAAAAGTAGTTAGTAAACAGTTGATTGACAGTTGAGAGGCAGGCCGAAAGAGCAAAGCTCAACCCCCGCAAAAACACAACTAGTAAACACAACTAGTAAACACACACACACACACACACACACACCACACACACACCACAGCTCAACCCCCGCAAAAACACAACTAGTAAACACAACTAGTAAACACACACACACACCACACACACACCACACACACACCACACACACACACACATCACACACACACACACGAGGCTCAAGCAGCATTAGTCCAGTTCTCCATATATCACTGAGGCGATCAACAAGGCAATGTTTATTTACAGCGGCGGGTGTGTGTACCGGCGGAGGCCCCGCGCTAAATGTCTCCTCCCGCCAGCAACCTTCACCGATGATACACAAAATTATGATATTCCCGGAAAACGGAGGGTGGTGGAGGGGTGACGGAGAGGGGGGAGAGGGGTGGTGGACGGGGGGAGAGAGAGGGTGACGGAGAGGGGGGAGAGAGGGGGAGAAGGTGTAAGAGGAGGGGGTGATGAGGTAAGAGAAGGGTGAGGATGTATGTAGGGTGAGTGTGTGAGCATGAGGAGTGAGGTTGATTGTAGGGTTCGGTTAGGGAAGGGACAGAGAGAAAGGGGGAGGGGGGGGGCAGAGAAGGCTAGATGGGGGGGGGGAGGAGGATGGGACAGGAATGGGGGACTGATAAACGGACGAGAAGACGACGTAGGTGTCAAGGAGGAGCCACGAACCTTGAAGGCGCCAACGAAGCAGGGAGATAACGAGCAATTCAACTGCGTTGTGTTCCAGGAACCTGTGAACCACCTCCCACTGGCGTCTACCTGAAACCCACGTACACCATCAACTCACGGCTCAAGTCGAGCCCGTCTGGGACGCTATTCATCCAGTATTTAAGTGTCCACTACGAAACCTGTGCATCTTAATCATTTTGGCAGAGTTTGAATTTATTAAACAACTTATGAGTTTCAAAGTCTTACGAGGTTCTTTTTAGCAATAATAACTTCTTCTAGCGAACGACTTTTAGCGGCGTTTTGAGGCTTGTAAACTACTTCATTAATACAATTAAAGCCACCATGATCAAGGGAAGATGCACAGGTTTCGTAAGTGTGACAAGTAAATGCTTCGTGATTCTTAGTCCAGGCTTTTTTTTTTATTGCGTCTCTCGGGGTCGTGCATCATCAGCACACGCACTATAATCGCGAGATAAACAAACGCTAATTGGCAGTTGTGGTGTTAAGACGAGCGCAAGTGTGTTAAGATACTACCCCGTGTAACACGCAATTGCATTGTCAAGATATCCCCCCAGATACAAGACCCACACATGCGTTGTAAAGATATCCACGGATACAACAAACAGATGCACGGTAAAGATATCCATATATACTTAACCTAGAGATGCATTGTAAAGATATCCACGGTAAAGATATCCACGGATAAATAGATGCATGGTAAAGATGTGTCAACATACCCACATGACACAAATGCAGTGTCAAGATACCCAAGATACCCACATGACTCACAAATACAGTATCAAGATACCCAAAATACCCACATGACACACACATACAGTATCAAGATACCCAAAATACCCACATGACACACAAATACAGTGTCAAGATACCCAAAATACCCACATGACACACACATACAGTGTCAAGATACCCAAGATACCCACATGACACACAAATACAGTATCAAGATACCCAAGATACCCGCATGACTCACAAATACACTATCAAGATACCGAAAATACCCACATGACACACACATACAGTGTCAAGATACCCAAAATACCCACATGACACACACATACAGTATCAAGATACACTTAAAGTGTAAAAGCACGTCTTATGCCAAGGTAAAGCGAAACATTCATAACTCCCCTTACTGATTACAAAACAGTTTAAATAAAATACTTGCACTCTAATTTCTACAACAGTTACTGCTGCAGCTGTTGTTAAAGCTACTACAATTACTATTTCTGTTGGTGTTAATACTAGCAGTCTACTGTTGATAGAACTACAACGGCTAATATTGCCGCTCCTGTTACTAATACTTCCACTGTTGCTGGCATTACTAATACTTCTGCTAATAACAGAATTCCTGTTGCTGTTGATACTACTATTAATAGTGTATACTTCTACTAGTACGACCAAAATTACTACTAGTACGACCACAAATACCACTAGTACGACCACAAATACCACTAGTACGACCACAAATACCACTAGTACGACCACAAATACCACTAGTACGACCACAAATACTACTAGTACGACCACAAATACTACTAGTACGACCACAAATACTAGTATACCACAAATACTACTAGTACGACCACAAATACCACTAGTATGACCACAAATACTACTAGTACGACCACAAATACTACTAATACGACCACAAATACTACTAGTACGACCACAAATACTAGTACGACCACAAATACCACCAGTACGACCACACATACCACCAGTACGACCACAAATACCACTAGTACGACCACAAATACCTCTAGTACGACCACAAATACCTCTAGTACGACCACAAATACCTCTAGTACGACCACAAATACCACTAGTACGACCACAAATACTACTAGTACGACCACAAATACCACCATTACGACCACACATACCACTAGTTCGGCCACACATACCACTAGTACGACCACAAATACCATTAGTACGACCACAAATACCACTAGTACGACCACAAATACCTCTAGTACGACCACAAATGCCGCTAGTACGACCACAAATACTAATAGTACGACCACAAATACCACCAGTACGACCACACATACCACTAGTTCGGCCACACATACCACTAGTACGACCACAAATACCATTAGTACGACCACAAATACCACTAGTACGACCACAAATACCTCTAGTACGACCACAAATGCCGCTAGTACGACCGCACATACCAATAGTACGACCACAAATACTACTAGTACGACCACAAATACCACTAGTACGACCACAAATACCGCTAGTACGACCGCACATACCAATAGTACGACCACAAATACCTCTAGTACGACCACAAATACCACTAGTACGACCACAAATACTACTAGTAATACCACTACGGTTACTATATTACTACTAATGATAATACATGTTCAAAAATAATAGTAACAATGCCACTGGACAAATTTTCCCCAATTACCTGGGTAGGCTGTAATTGGGTAGTTCGTAATAAACCAGCGTAACCACATTCAGTCTTGTGAGTAATGGGAGGGGCTTCTAAATTGTGCAAGTCCAGCCTTTTGATCCTCATTTGGTCTGGTGTTGGGCTTAAGGCCAATCAATCTCTAGAGGGTTATTAAGGCCGCAATGGCTTATTGACTACCATAATGGTATATATATATATATATATATATATATATATATATATATATATATATATATATGAGCCTCGTTCAATGACTGGCAAGCATAGAACGGAAATGGTGAGAAAGCACTAATCCAGTATGACTATTCAGTACATGGGGGGGGGGGTGTATAGGGATATAGAGATGGAGTGCCCAACTATGCCCAACCATCGGGGGATCGAACGCTGGCCCTGCAAGCAGGTAGGCTGGATTGCTCTACCTTGGACACTACCTAGAACTCTTTCTACCCAAGTTACTCTCTGGCGAGTAAGGTCCACAGACTGTTTACACACACACTCACACACACACACACACACACACAGTTGATTGACAGTTGAGAGGCGGGACCAAAGAGCCAAAGCTCAACCCCCCGCAAGCACAAATAGGTGAGTACACACACATTTTTTTAGCCTCTTGCCTTAGAGGATTCCAGACATTCTTGAGGACAAACTATGAACGACCGTAGCATGACTGAGAGTGGTAAGGCAGCGCTGTTGTAAGTGTGTGTTAAGTTGAAGAATTCCAGTAGTGTGTTGTGGGTACTTAAGTATATTGTTACAGCTTGATGAATGGGGAATGTATCAGCTTCAGAACCATGCAGAAGCTCTATACTCGTAGAGCATTTTAGAGCCCATTTTAGAGCCCATTTTAGAGATTGTTACAATTTTTTGGGGAAAGATTTCGAAAGATGGTATTTTTTATTCTGTCGTATATGTGGGTTTAATGGTTTGTTTTGTATTAATGAGATAAAGCCGATTTTGTTTTGAGTCGTTAAACCTTTCTCTGTTTTGATTAGTTTGTTACACATTTCCATGTGTGTGTATTTCGTTTATATCGACACTTTCTCCACTCCCTACTTTCTGCTATTCTCTCTCCTTTCTCTCTTCTCGCTTTCCATATCCCTGCCTCTCTTCTCGTCTCTTTTCTATCCCCTTCCCTCGTCTCCTTCCTTCTTTGTCATTCTTTCATCTCCCCATTTATCCCCCTTCACTCTTCTCGTCTCTCTCCACCTTCCCAGTCTCGTACCTCTCTCCTCTTCCTTCTCTTCTCGCCTGTGTTCCGCTCTCTTCTTCCTTCTAATATTCCCCCTTCTCCTTCCCTCTCTTAAAACATCCTCTCTCTACCCCATTTTCCATCCTATCCCTATCTGTCTTCATCTGTTTCTGCCAATATCTCTCTCTTTGTTGTCATCTGTCTCTGTTTCTCTGCTTGTCTTCCTCTGTCTTTCTCTGAATTGATCTTTATGCAGACCTGTCTCTGTTTCTGTCTATATTTATGTCTCTGTATCTGTCCATGTATCTATGACGGTGTGTTTGTCTTTGTCTCTGTTTCCGTTATAAAAATGATAATAGTGTATCATTGGCGAGTGGGAGGACCCAAAAGGAAGGAGCCTAATTATAAAATATTCAACAAATATAATGCTCATTTGTTTGCTTTGATAAACAAGCGGGGATTCATGAGGCCTTAGAAGCTGTGGGAGGATCGTCCGTTTTATGTTACTACGGCGAAAGTATGAATAGTAGAAAACTTAGTTATTTGACCGAGATATATGAACACTAGAACAAATTAAATTGACTTTTTTTCTTTCAAAACATTTAGCTGAATGTAGCTGACGGGCAGTGCCAAACAAATCGTCGTGTGGGCCAGAATGTGACCCCCCTGACATGTTAAAGCTGTTTTCTCTTGAGTTCTAGCTATCCCCGACCAGCCTATGTCCGTCCCATACCGTAGACCATTCCGCATGCAAAGCTGGGTGGCGTCCGACCTCCAATCATGGATACACAGACATTTTCTCTAACAGATATACACATGACTGTGTAACATTGCTTACAGTTTTAAGGCTATTACTATCTCCATAAATCCTGCATGTTTTAATTAATAAAAAACTGTTTTTTTTTGTATTGGTGAAATATGTGAGGAAGATAACGTTTGGAAATTTATTTACCCGGCTGTTTTATTGCCTCTTTTTTTATTACTGAAGTTTGTTTTACTGATTGTCTCGTTCATCTCCTGCTGAAGGGTCAGTAGACGTTGGTCCAGCCATGGTATAACCAAGGGGTAGTGACCTAGCCATGATATAACCAAGGGGGTAATGACCTAGCCATGATATAACCAAGGGGGTAGTGACCTAGCCATGATATAACCAAGGGGGTAGTGACCTAGCCATGATATAACCAAGGGGTAGTGACCTAGCCATGTTATAACCAAGGGGTAGTGACCTAGCCATGATATAACCAAAGGGTAGTGACCTAGCCATGGTATAACCAAGGGGTAATGACCTAGCCATGATATAACCAAGGGGGTAGTGACCTAGCCATGATATAACCAAGGGGTAGTGACCTAGACATGATATAACCAAGGGGTAGTGACCTAGCCATGATATAACCAAGGGGTAGTGACCTAGCCATGATATAACCAAGGGGGTAGTGACCTAGCCATGGTATAACCAAGGGGGTAGTGACCTAGCCATGGTATAACCAAGGGGTAATGACCTAGCCATGATATAACCAAGGGGGTAGTGACCTAGCCATGATATAACCAAGGGGTAGTGACCTAGACATGATATAACCAAGGGTAGTGACCTAGCCATGATATTACCAAGGGGTAGTGACCTAGCCATGTTATAACCAAGGGGGTAATGACCTAGCCATTATATAACCAAGGGGGTAGTGACCTAGCCATGATATAACCAAGGGGGGTAGTGACCTAGCCATGATATAACCAAGGGGTAGTGACCTAGCCATGATATAACCAAGGGGGTAGTGACCTAGCCATGATATAACCAAGGGGGTAGTGACCTAGCCATGTTATAACCAAGGGGTAGTGACCTAGCCATGATATAACCAAGGGGGTAATGACCTAGCCATGATATAACCAAGGGGGTAGTGACCTAGCCATGATATAACCAAGGGGGTAATGACCTAGCCATGATATAACCAAGGGGGTAATGACCTAGCCATGATATAACCAAGGGGTAGTGACCTAGCCATGATATAACCAAGGGGTAGTGACCTAGCCATGATATAACCAAGGGGTAGTGACCTAGCCATGATATAACCAAGGGGGTAGTGACCTAGCCATGATATAACCAAGGGGTAATGACCTAGCCATGATATAACCAAGGGGTAATGACCTAGCCATGATACAACCAAGGGGTAATGACCTAGCCATGATACAACCAAGGGGGTAGTGCCCTAGCCATGATATAACCAAGGGGGTAGTGACCTAGCCATGATATAACCAAGGGGTAGTGACCTAGCCATGTTATAACCAAGGGGGTAGTGACCTAGCCATGATATAACCAAGGGGTAGTGACCTAGCCATGTTATAACCAAAGGGTAGTGACCTAGCCATGTTATAACCAAGGGGTAGTGACCTAGCCATGTTATAACCAAGTGGTAGTAACCTAGCCATGATATAACCAAGGGGTAGTGACCTAGCCATGTTATAACCAAAGGGTAGTGACCTAGCCATGTTATAACCAAGGGGTAGTGACCTAGCCATGTTATAACCAAGGGGTAGTGACCTAGACATGATATAACCAAGGGGTAGCCATGATATAACCAAGGGGTAGTGACCTAGCCATGATATAACCAAGGGGTAGTGACCTAGCCATGATATAACCAAGGGGGTAGTGACCTAGCCATGGTATAACCAAGGGGGTAGTGACCTAGCCATGATATAACCATGGTATAACCAAGGGGTAGTGACCTAGCCATGATATAACCAAGGGGGTAGTGACCTAGCCATGATATAACCAAGGGGTAGTGACCTAGCCATGTTATAACCAAGGGGTAGTGACCTAGCCATGATATAACCAAGGGGTAGTGACCTAGCCATGATATAACCAAGGGGTAGTGACCTAGCCATGATATAACCAAGGGGGTAGTGACCTAGCCATGATGGTAGTGATAACCAAGGGGTAGTGACCTAGCCATGATATAACCAAGGGGTAGTGACCTAGCCATGATAACCAAGGGGGTAGTGACCTAGCCATGGTATAACCAAGGGGTAGTGACCTAGCCATGATATAACCAAGGGGTAGTGACCTAGCCATGATATAACCAAGGGGTAGTGACCTAGCCATGATATAACCAAGGGGTAGTGACCTAGCCATGATATAACCAAGGGGGTAGTGACCTAGCCATGTTATAACCAAGGGGGTAGTGACCTAGCCATGATATAACCAAGGGGTAGTGACCTAGCCATGATATAACCAAGGGGTAGTGACCTAGCCATGATATAACCAAGGTGGTAATGACCTAGCCATGATATAACCAAGGGGGTAATGACCTAGCCATGATATAACCAAGGGGGTAGTGACCTAGCCATGATATAACCAAGGGGGTAGTGACCTAGCCATGATATAACCAAGGGGTAGTGACCTAGCCATGATATAACCAAGGGGGTAGTGACCTAGCCATGATATAACCAAAGGGTAGTGACCTAGCCATGATATAACCAAGGGGTAGTGACCTAGCCATGATATAACCAAGGGGTAGTGACCTAGCCATGATATAACCAAGGGGTAGTGACCTAGCCATGATATAACCAATGATATAACCAAGGGGTAATGACCTAGCCATGATATAACCAAGGGGTAATGACCTAGCCATGATACAACCAAGGGGG